GAAAAAACTGCGGGTCTACGGAGTGGGAACTTTTCGGATTTGAACTCAGCGTGTTCGAAAGTGTTAGTTCCCGTAAAAATATTTCAGTTCTAAGACATGCTTAATGAAAGTGAACGATATCGGGTCACAACACACGGACTATTATTAGTATTCTTTATGTAAAGAATACTAATGAGGCCTAGGACACGACTACAATAGATACTGCCTTATTAGTATTCTTTATATATAAAGAATACTAATTAGGAGTGTTTATCAGGTTTAAAGCCACTGCACGTGACATGTTTTTCGCGTTTTTTTCTTACCTCCTTACCCTCATTTTTCGGGTTACTCTCATATAGAGAAGTTTCGAAATTTTGAGACGGAAGAAGTAAGGAGAAGTAGGGAACTCTAAGGTGAGGCCCAAGGAGGTCGAAGGAAGCTGCGGATGTATAGGGATGGCTATTGGCTAAGAATGTGTGAGGACACTGAGGAGATCTAAGGAGACATGCATATAGGTGGCCTAAGGATGGCTACGGAGGTGTAAGGAAGTCTAAGGTCGGGAGATCTAAGGATGGTTATGGAGGCCTACGGAGGTGTAGGGAGGTCTAAGGATCGCTAAGGAAGTCTAAGGAGATCTACGGATATACATTATGTGATGCACTAGTACTATAATAGGGGTCACATAAAGTAGCTACATACATTATTAGGTGTGCAAGTGATTATTAATAGGTGTACAAGTGATCATCGTGTGTGCAATGCTCATTAGGTAATCTGCACACACAATGTTATTTTTGACATGGAAAATGCGTCATAGCCCACCGTCATGGCCATAGTGTTGCCCGCAGCCATTGCTTCTAAAGTTAGCCTGCACACTGCGACCTTTTAGTGGCTGAGTGGGTCTGTAGTTATCCACCAGCCATTTCAACCGGTCAGGGTTAACTGGATCACAATATTTCATACCACGTAGTGCGTTCAGCTGGAAAAGGAACATAAAAACGTGGGGTTAGGTAGTATTCTACAATAAGATGTCATGGTTTGTGTCTGAACTATCAGAAAAAGATATCTCAAACATGGTGGTCCAGTGTAGGTAGTATTCTACAATAAGCTGCCGTAGTTTGTGTCTGAACTACCTGAAAAAGATATCTCAAACGTGGTGGTTCAGTCTACAATAAGCTGTCGCGCATTGTGTCTGAACTACCTGAAAAAGAAATCTCAACTACAGCTGCTTCCAATTAATCGATTATTTTTCCACAATCGATTATGCTTAACAGTAATCGGATTGTCTATAACACCGCACAGCGTGATGCGGGAATGAGTTTTAAAATTTCTTTCCGGATTAAAAAATTGCGACAAGATTGTGATTGAAACATTAAATGACAAATTGATTCAAAACCAGAGACGCTGGAACGATGTGAATGAAAGGGGGGCAGATTTTCGTGAAAGGGCACTTTTGAATTGATATATACTAAGAGATGTTTGCAAAACATCGGGAGTTGAACTTTTCCTAATCATGTTTTCTATTTATTGGATGCCAGGGGTGTGAGGGGGTTCTCCGCCAGGCGATTGTGCTATTCTTGAAGCTCGATGACTGCATTTCTTGCGTTTTCTGAAGCAAATTCGTAACGGAATCGCACTAACATTTCTGACAATTCGCTATTTCGCCAAGGCAATCCTTTAAATTCAAAGGGCACCTTTGCCTCCCTTGCCGCTCCTGGTAAAGGCCAAAGGGCAGCGGGGGCGGCGGCCCCTCCTGCCCCCCCAATTCCGGCGTCCCTGTTCAAAACATTGTGGGTCAAACATCAATTTCACTCACTAGAAGACTTTATTACCATTTGCGTCTAACATTGCGGCGTGCGGACATAAACCAATTACCATTAAGAGGTTGAGTCTTGCAAATTTACTTGTGTCAAAGAAGTGTCAAAGATAAGGGCCTAAACAAATATCGTTCCTGTCTTTTCATGTCTCTTGTATGAAGTGTAAGAGCGCGAGAACGTGCGCAATCTATAATTGTGATCAACGTTCATTTTAAACGCATGCAGATTTAAAATGTTTATACTGACTGGTGAAACCCCAAAAAATTTAGTAAAGTTAAATTGCAATTTAGCAACATGTTAAACCACCATGGGTCTTTCATATTTAAACTAATTATCAATACGATTAATCGATTGTTGACAACGATTAATGGATTACGAAAATTAACCGATGGGAGCAGCTCTTGTCTGAATTACCTGAAAATAATACCTCAGACGTGGAGGTCCAAGTTAGGTAGTACTTTTACAATAAGCTCATTAACCTGCCATGATTTGTGTGTCAACTACCTGAAAATGATATTTCTAACACTGAACCACCACAGTTGGAGTTAATAAAATATAAGTTTTCAATTAACAGATTCACACGATATAACGTGCATGGTTACCTGTGCTTCAGAGATTTCAACAGTTTTAGCAAATACAGTCCATGTGACCACTTCTTCACATCCAGGGGTGGTCAATGATCCTTGGTAGCGATAGAATGATTTATCATTGGGGAGTAAACCCGCTAATGAGAAGCCAGCAATGTCTGATGTGTCTAAATGAAAAGAAATGTCATGATCATGATCGCTGGTTTCATAGTTAACAGAATAGATGTTTTGGAAATTCATTAGAATAACAATATAAGTCCTCTATGTTAGTCAACGTTTATTCATAAATCTGGTCGTTCACCGTCACGTGTGTATTGTATTTTTATCAAATCCACCAATAGCAATTTCCAATTTCCCTATTGTTCGAGTCACGGATAGGTGACTTTCCTAAGACATTGCCATTGGTTAGTTGGGCAAAAATACAATACGCACGTGACGGTGAACGACCAGATTTATGAATAAACGTTGACCAGCATAGATAATGAGTTGTCATTATTCTAATGAGTTTCCAAAACATCTATTCTATTAACTATGCTGGTTTGCGATCAGCCCTTGGGATGACAAAGACAACAGCTGCTAATGATATTCTTTTGTTTAATAGCGTTCCTCCAACATGGCCCCCATGACGTCAAGTGCAAACGAAGAATGCAAAGAATGAAGGGACATAGCAGTGTTCAAATTAGAAAGGTATCAGTTTTATAAATTTTCTAATGATGAGAATTATGTATTGTCGGAACATGGTGTCTGTTTTATTAATAGTAGATGACTTTTTGTAGATGAAGTATTCGAACGCAAATTTGTATACATTTTTAGACCTGTCTATGTGTATTAAAGTGGGGTCCCTAACAAGAGGTTGGATTGTCAGAAATATTTTGATGGCATGTTGTTTGTTTGTTCGTTTGTTCGTTTGTTCGTTCGTTCGTTCGTTCGTTCGTTTGTATGTTTGTTTGTATGTTTGTTTGTTTGTTTGTTTGTTTGTTTGTTTGTTTGTTTGTTTGTTTGTTTGTTTGTTTGTTTGTTTGTTTGTTTGTTTGTTTGTTTGTTTGTTTGTTTGTTTGTTTGTTTGTTGTACATACCTCCTGGCTTGGTGACTTGTGCCGCGAGATTTAAAAAATTGTAATTGTCGTTATCGTTGTTGTGTCCTTCCTGTGAAGAAAATTTATTTAATCGAAATAATTACAGTAGAATTTATACAGTAAATTATACAGTAGAATTTATGGGAATGTAATATCTAAGCATCGAACTTGAGACAAAGCTTATACAACCTTGGACACAGACTGGTTGAGTCTTTCTTATAATGTCGTATATTATGTTAATTAAATTGACTGAATATAAATTTCCTACCTTAAGAAGCACGCTAAGAACTGCCAGACCATCAGGATGCTTCTTGCCTTCATGAACGCTGGAATATTTTGTATGCACCAAATGCAACTGGAAATGAAAAGATTAATATCGGATTGTTGTCTATAAAGGTCCAGTATAAATTCAAATTCTAAAATAGTATTAAATTCAGCTTAAAGTTCACTGATAGATGTTACACCTATACCAACCTCAGCTGGAAAAGCCATGTTGTTTACGCGATGTTCAGATCCCTGGCAAACATTACTCCCCCAATGAAAATGAAATTCCGCCAGTTTGAAAACTCCAGGCAAGCCTCCGTTTTCAATTGTCGGGATTGAATTGTCGTCTGTGTAGCAACTGAATGATACCTTGTAACTGTGACCGTTATTTTCTGCAGTTATTTTCACGTTTGGTGGGATTTTACCATAGTTGGTGAACTTGATATATCCTAAGTTGCTGTACGTTGGGTTGATGATGTTTATTGGAGATTGCCTAGTTCCTCCGCACGTTGGAAAGTTCGTTGGCCATGTATTGACACCTAAAGTAAGAGATACAATCCCTCAATTTCACAACGAATTGCGTTTAACCTTTAACTCATTCTTTCCTTATCGATACTTTAGGTTCTACAGTATTGAAGTTTCTTTGATTGCGTGGATTATCTTTGCATGGATACACTTTCATCGAAGTATGCTTAATCAAAGTATGTACCAAACTAACTCTATTTATACTGGATAGCTATGCCAATCCCTAAACTGTCCTTCCCATGCAGAGGTCCAGTAAGTTACTACACGAAGAAACCTACACTAAACTAACTTTATGTATACTGGATAGCTCTATCAGTTCCACTGAAATGTTTTTCCTAGAGGTTCAGTTAGGATCATCTCTTAAGCCAGTTTTCCACTTCAAGCGTGCCGTACCAAAACGTATCAAAAACGTTTTTAAATTTCAAAATTTCGTGAATGATGATTGGTTAGTACTTCCGTAGTACGCCAAAAAGTTGACTTGTGACGAACTTTTTATTTTGATACGCGAATACACCCGGAAGTACGTGGATTTATAAACCTGTTTTCAATCTGCGCATGCTCACCAGTACGTTTCGGTACGCCTTACGGGCGAAGTGGAAAACCGGCTTTATTGATCCAGTGTTACTACAGGGGGAAACGTAAACTAAACTAACTTCATTTATACTGGATAGCTCTATCAGTTCTAAACTGTTCTCGCTAGAGGTCCAGTAAGGGTAATCTCTTATTGATCCAGTATCTGATGAGTCGACGTTTCATGATGATTGGCCATCATGATCATCAGCAGTCGTAATGTGAACGAAGATTTACATACCGTATTTAGCTGAATGATAATCCCACTTTTGCTCAGATGTAGCTGGAAAATTGTGCAATTATTAGTCATTATTACATTTATAAAACAATATGGGCGGCTATCTTTAAAATGGGGAATAACCTGGGAATCGGAAAAACTTTAAAAGTTTAAACAATTAAAGTCGATGCCAAGCCATAAAAATTTTCTCCCTATAAATATATTTGCGTGTACGAGTGCCTAAAGTTGTTTGGCAACGAATGATGATTAGTGTACGTCAAACTCGATACAAATGGTTCCTTTCTTACGCCACTCTTATCGCCCCCCAATTACCACAAAAACCATTCTCTCAAAAAGTATAAATCCGTAGAGAAATTGGGAGGGGGGATGCACGTTACATTCTCAAAGCTAAAACTGACTAAGTCTTGATCCAACCTGCTTTACAGGGTCTCCCCTCCGCCACGCCCCCCCCCCAAAAAAAAGCGGAGGTGAGACCCTGGGAACGAGGTTGGTCTTGATTTAGGACGACGATTTACTAGAGGAGCTTGATGTGTAAAATCTCGTTAAAGCGTTTGTTTATATGATTCCAAGAAGAGAATGGATTTAGTTTATATTTTCAACTGTTAAATGTCATGTATGTCATTACCATAGCAAGAATATTTCTGCTGAAATTTATTCTGTATCTCATGAAAAGTATTGCAAAAATGGCGTTTCACAGAACCTAGGCTTGTCTAAATGCAAAATTTCCGATCAAAATCACATTGGGATTTTCTCCCCACAGCATCACACACAGACTGGAAATGACACGGACCCTATCCTCTAGTTTTCCAAGGTGACTTCCATGCAATTCATTTAGATCTGAGGAGAAATATCTGGTAAAATTTCACCCCCAAAATGCTCCAAATCGCATTCGCGGGAAGTCAAGTTTTCTCAGGGGGAGCCTCAGCCGGTATCACGCTCTCGCTTCGCCTCCTCCCCCCTAAAAAAAACTCTCTAGGGCTCTTGCAATGCCACTGTAAACTATAGTCAGTAGGAAATAGGAGCAAGAAGCCGAATTTGAATGACATCATTTATATATTTTGCAATTTGAAAATTGAAAGCCATAATTCACATTACTATTTTCCAACTCTGGCCGTCGCATAATCTAGATAAAAAGTCGATGATTTAGAATAAAGAGGTTATTTTTAAAATCATTTGAACTCGGTCTCCCAAGGAGAGATGTTGTAAAGACACAGACAGCTTGTCTGCTATAAGCAATTATACACTTTAATCTATTGCTAAAAGCTAAAAGCATTTTAAAATTAATTACTGATAATTCCCGTAATTTGGAGATAAAAAGATATTCGTTATCACGCATGTTGCGTTTCCCGATAATTGTATTTTGCTTAATTTAGATATTTCGTTGTCTTGATACTATTGTAATAAACCACAAAAAGATCCTTGACCTTGTAGGACCTGGTTAACATCTACGCTTCTCGCGAATCACGAAAATAAATGTTCACGAATTTGAATACAACTATCTACGTGAAATAGGGTGTTTTTGTTCCAAAATGGCAAGTGCCTTTTATCTGTACATTCCTGTACCTCTGATGGGAGTGGGAGTTCTTGCAGAGTTCCTGCAGAGTTCCAGCTATGCAGTATCAGAACTATAAAGTTGGTATTAGCGGTTTTCATTTTCTACTGTTGTAAAACTGAACCACTATCGGTGAGAAAAGTAGTTTAGCACTGAAAGAGCTAGCTATCCAGTGTCAACATCGATATTAACCGCGAGCTTAAGTTAGTTTAGGTTTCACTAAAACATTAAAGGTGATCTACAGTCCGATCTGCGCATGTGCACAAAGGAGCCCACTTTTTATGATACAAACAGTTTAACTATGTTTTGGGTTCTTGAAAAGCCTGATTATTGTTTCTTGATCATTTATTATACTCTAGAAGCTTGAAAATATAAATAGTTGTCGAATAAAGCTCAATATTTTGGACACAAAAATGTAAACAAAGGCTTTGTTTACATACGGACTGTAGAGCACCTTTAAGTGATGACCTTTATTGGATTTCTGGGAGAACACTGATGGAGTTACCCAGTGTATAAATGAAGTATTTAACCACTGACTATAACAGTGGAGGGGGAATGAAAAATACAAGATCAAATTTGGCACAGTTGGTAAGTGCACCTAGGCACACATTTTGAACGTTTATGCAGTTGTCATAGCAACACACTAGTTACCAGGTCTACACACAAGGTACCGAGACCTTTATTAAATAATTTTCGGTATGCGAAGTTCATATTGAGGAAAAGGTATTCCCTGCCAGTTTTGTCTTAAATTTATTTTGTCTAAACGGCATGCTGATTTAGTTATATAGCTGATAAAGTGATATCTTTACAATCTTAGAGCTTTGTTTTGCGATGCGCTTGGTGTCACTGCAATTACAAACTATAGTGCAACTATAACGGTGCTTTTTTCAAGTAGAGTGCTAAAATTGAAATATCTATCTTCTCCGACACAATTACCACTCAGAAAAGCGCCATCGTTTTCAACTACCCTCAACATTAATACGTTCACTTAAAATATGTTTGTTGGTCGAGCAGAATCGCAAGAAGTTGGGTTTCAACTCGCAGAATCGTAAGCAGTGGCGTATCATAGGGGGGCGACGCTAATCGCAACAAAAAAATCCTAAGTGCAACATTTCCGATCAAAATTGTTTTTTTTCCTCCCAGCATCATAGAGAGGAAATAAGATTACACGGACCCCTCCAGTTTTCCAAGGTGACTTTTCCAATTAATTTATTTCCGAAAACAAATGTCAGGGAAAAGGTACGTTTTTGAGATCCGATAAATGTCTTTGATGTTCTTCATCAGGGACTCCAGATTTTAAGAGGGAACATGCCCAGACCACCTCTCACGCCTTTGGTTTTCGCTTTGCCCTTCCAAAAATATGGCCCTGGCTACGCCACTATCGCCAACTTACCTGTTGTACTTCCGATCACGGAGGGAACAAAGAGCAAGAATAACAACTTTTGAAGCATTGTGTTTGGTATTTAATCTACAATAAAGATATAGGTCACATAATAATGTATAAAAGAATTTTTCATAAACATTTGAACGAAATGAAAGAGATTTTTGTGTTGGTAAGAAACAGCCAGTCAGTTTGAAGTTGTTCCGGTCTTGCAAGGCCAGAAACAAAGCTGTTATTTGTTATTCAAGTGTTTAGTCATGCATAACTATATAGGTGCAATGCTAACTCCGAAAACGGTTATATGAAATACTTCAGAATTATCATTTACAGCGGATGCAACACTAGCTCAACAATTCATCATGTGAACTTCTTAATTTTAAAAACTGTAATGGGAATATCACCTCATGCACCAAGACACCACAAACATGTATATTATCTCATTTTGTTTGCAATAAGAACAGTATAAAATTAATGCAACAATGGAAAGGGTTGAATAAATTGAAATGCGTCAACAGGATTCGTTTGAATGCATGAAAAATTTAGAAAACGTCCACACCACCATTGTAAAACATTTCGTTCTATAATTATGAACGTAAATGGTAGTTTCGGTTTTCATTTCCCGTTTAACGCCCACGAAACACCCACCTGATTGCATGTTGAAATGTTTGGAAAATAACAAGATTGTGCTCTTTGTGCATAATATGCACTGTACTAAGTGCTCAAATAGTTGATATTTTAGTTGTGATAGTTATTGTTGTGCACTTGCTTTAAATTTTTTTGAAAAATAAATATTTCATGTTCATAAATAAATTCCAATTGTTCTTTTAAAATATTCAGAGATCTATACAAACTTACAAAGACATAAATTCATCTATATAGTAAAATTGCTCGAAACATACATAATTGAGTTCATATTTGCACTGTTCTTCGTTTTTGAAAATAACCGAACCGAGGTTTTCCTGTTTCAAAAAAACCGGAACCGAGATAAATTTTTTGGAACCGCACAGCTCTATGAAGACTGTTTAAAAAATCTTTACAAACCTGAGCATTTTTCTTTCACTAGAATTGGGGGGCGGATACTACCCGCAGAAATGTAATGGACCATTTGCATTATAGACTAAATTTTGATCTAGACAAAAATTTCATCACAGCTTGAAAGAGCATCACAAAATTAGTAATATTTCAAAGTTTCGTTGCGAAATGTTGTAAAATGCGGATAATATAGCCTTGCGAAATTTGCAATTTTCAGTCATTTTAGATTACAAACGGGAAATTGCAGCCTAGCCATAGGCTCTCTCGCGCGCTTGCTATGCTTGGTTTATAGGGGTACGAAGGGGTAATTGTGGTGGGAGAGGGGTAGCGGTGACGTCACAACTAACTGACGTCATACCTAAGCTAGTTTTATCGATCGACGGTTCGTTTTTCGTTGCCCCTGCAGAACGACTAGGAACTAGGCTGGGGAAATTGATGCCCCAACACCCGATTGGGCTGTCAATTTCCCGTGCGTAATACAAAATGACTGAAAAACGGCAAACTTCGCATGGCTATATTATCCGCATTTTACAACATTTCGCAACGAAACTTTGGAATATTACTAATTTTGTGATGCTCTTTCAAGCTGTGACGAAATATTTGTCTAGATCAAAATTTAGTCTATAATGCAAATGGTCCATTGTAAGGGAGAAATACTTTAACCACACAAAAAAGTCAACGCTCTGCCGAAAGTCGTGGGATTTCTCCGGGTGCTCGATCCGGTTTCCTCCCACAGGGAAAGTTGACAGGGTGGGTTAGGATAAACGCTGTTAGTTAAGAAAGTAGTATCACAATTGTTCTAAAGATAAAATAGTCTAGGCTAAGTAAGGAATTAGATAAGCGTATAATACTTGATGTAAAGCGCGTTTGATCATATGCATGCGTAAATTTGCGCTGCGGAAATGCTACTCGTAATCGTATAAAGATTTCATCCAGGAGCTATACTTGTCATCATTCAACTGCAATTCTCATTCGACGCTGCGTCATTTCGAGATGCGCAATTGAACCTTGCAAGAACGCGATGTCGTTGCAAAGATAGCTTTTCAATTAAATCTTGTTTATTTGAATTCATAAATTCCCTTGTCAGTACATATTAACGCGAACCAGTATTATCTTATGGCACAAGTTTAAGCAAATAAGAAATTACATTTCAACAATGACATACCTGATCGAATCAATCCAAATATAAAGCGCGCTGAACTGTTCACCGTTCTTTCTTCAGGAAAGCAACCTGTAACCCCGACTGCATCTGACCACTGAAGGCACCAATTTTATATTATGTTGTGAGTTTCACCTCACCCACGCATGATTTGTGGGCGTCAGACTTTAAAAATGAAAGTCAATGTCAAATTGTTAAAATTTTCATTTTTTTACGCTGCATTGACCACTGCGCACATCCCTTTCTCCACAGACGCTTTTAAAGGATTAATTTAGAAATAATTTCTCTCTAAAATTAGTTGCGCTGGGAGGTAAATGCAATTACGTTAGTCTTTAATGTACTGTTTAATAAACGAGCAGGAGTGTTTTATTAGGTTTAAAGCCACGAGCGCGCAGCGCGAGTGGCTTTAGACCTAATAAAACACGACCTGCGAGTTTATTAAACGGCTTCAAACACGACTACAAATTCAATAGATTTACTGCCTTGTTAGTATTCTTTATATAAAGAATACTAATGAGGACACGACTACAATAGATACTGCCTTATTAGTATTCTTTATATAAAGAATACCAATTAGGAGTGTTTTATCAGGTTTAAAGCCACTGCACGTGACATATTATGGTTGACATGATTCGTCAATAAGCTTATGAATTATTAATGAGTGTTTGAATTTAATTTAAATTCTTTACACACGGTAGCCTGATTCAGTCACAGTGCTGGTTTTCCAAGGGCCGTGTAGAACTTATGGGAGAAATGTTGACAAGCAGATCACACAACGATATTATAAGTTTATAGACATGGCTTTAATACCAGGCTTGGTCTTCTTTATGCATTCATGAATATTCTTTTCAACTCCATGTGTGATGTAATTTCGACTCAATGTGTCATCTCCAACGTATCTTCATGGACTATAGGGAGTTTAAGGTTGCAGGTCACGTGCACCCTTTTTGGCGTTTTGCGGAAAGTCGCTACTGCGCGCTCAATATCAGTCCGATTTTCATCAAATTTTCACCAAATGCTCGCCAGTGCATGCAAAATATGGTAAAGTTGTAAAATTGACAAACAATAAAATAATGTAAGAATTATTCAGGAATTGCTGGTATCTTTGCGCTTTCAAAAGTTGTTTTCCTGCTGGTTTTAAGATATATTTATGAAAATATCATTTTTATACAGTAAAATAGTTGTTCTAAAAGATTGTGTTCGGAAATTTTTGTTTATTTCGTCATTCCGCTGAGTGATTTCTTTGACGACTTCAATACATTTCTAAATCGTTTGAGTGAATTGTTCCTTATTGCCCTTATTATTAAAATATCCAAAATTGGAAAAAAGCCGAACACAATTTTGAAACTGACGTACAAAGCCCTTTAAATTGCAATGAAATTTCTTTCGAGGTTCTGTTTATTTGAAGTTCGCTGCTGTTTAAAAAATGACACTGAAAACCCAATTTAAAATATAACTTTGTCGAAATATTTTGTCGGGCGGTGCATTTATATTGTATAACGGAATATAAAAAATATTCACGAGGCTCTTAAAATACACTCGGGTGGTGATGAGAATCAAGGAATTTATTATATGTGGCCTTGTTGGCAATTTTGTATCCAAATAATGAACTTAGTGCAAAGAGGTGACAATATATATATATGTTCCTACTTCGAGAGTGAAACAAATTATCAAGGCTGCATTATCATACTTTTTAAAAACAAATAACCGATCATACAACCTTGGTAAACTGTTTATATTACACGCATGCGCACGACGGACCGTACTACATCTTTAACAATTGATATTAAAGCGTTTATTTGAAGTTTCCACTTCGTGTGTGTGTGTGCTTTTTTAGCTGCAAATAAGTAACAATTAGCTAACTGATTGCTACAACAGCTTACAACTAAGTAGCAATTAACCATGTAATGAACAACCATTTCGCTAGTTAATTAACCAATTAAGTGGATAACTAACTAATTAACTAACTTACTAATTGATTCACTCTTGTGTTGGTCTATAAAGTCTGATATTTAGTCGATTCTGTTGTGCATTTATTTTTCAATTTCTAAGCTAAATACAACGATAATATGAATTATGGGTGCATATTAAATTTTACAAATTATTGTTGAAATTAAGAAAATAAACCAGTAACACCAGTAACAAGCTTGCAAGGAATATAGAATTATTTTCCGAAGCCATGGTGTCGCCCTCCGTGTTGGCCATGGTGCCGCCCGCCGTGTCGGTCATGGTGTCGCCCCCCGTGTCGGCCATGGTGTCGCCCTCCGTGTCGGCCATGGTGTCGCCCCCCGTGTCGGCCATGGTGTCGCCCGCCGTGTCGGCCATGGTGTCGCCCGCCGTGTCGGCCATGGTGTCGCCCGCCGTGTCGGCCATGGTGTCCCCCGCCGTGTCGGCCATGGTGTCCCCCGCCGTGATGGCCAGGACAGCTATTGCTTCTAAAGTTAGCCAGCACCCTGCGACCATTTAGTGGCTGAGTGGGTCTGTAGTTATTCACCAGCTGTTTCAACTGTTGGTTCACTGGATCACGATATTTCATTCCACGTAGGGCGTTCAGCTGGAACAGAAACATAAAACGTGGGGTTAGGTAGTATTCTACAATAAGATGTCATGGTTTGTGTCTGAACTACCAGTGTAGGGTAGTATTCTTCAATAAACTGCCGTGGTTTGTGTCTGAACTATCTGAAAACGATATCTCTAACACTGAACCACCACTTTTGAGATTAGTTTCACACAATATAACGTGCTGGTTACCTGTGCTTCAGAGATTTCAACAGTGTTGGCAAATACAGTCCACGTGACAACTTGTTCACATTCAGGGGTGGTCAATGATCCTTGGTAGCGATAGAATGATTTATGACATGGGAGTAAACCCGCTAATGAGGAGATATTAATCTTTGTTGTATTGTCTAAATGAAAAGAAATGTCCGGATCATAATTGCTGGTTTGCGATCAATCTTTTGAGATTTATAAGACAATAGCTGCTAATGATATTCTTTTGTTGGCGTTCCTCCAACATGGAATTTGCTTGCTTGCTTGCTGTTTGTTTAGTGGTTTTGACTTGTTATTGTTTGTTTGTTTATAATTTGCTATTGTTCACATACCTGGGTAGGGGACTTGTTGTGCCGCGCGATTTAGAAAATTGTAATTGTTGTTGTTGTGCCGTCCTCGCTGTAAAGAAAATGTATTTATTTATTTATTTATTTATTTATAGATAAAACGTAGCCAAACAATTAAAGCAGTTATTGCTCCGTTAGGGCCCCTAACAGGTAGGTTGACTGGGATCCTAAAAACATAAAACATGCCGGTTCATAAAAAAATCATAATAAATAAAGTTGGTGATTCTGGTGACTAGGTGCTCTGACGGATCTGAAATATCCCAAACCATAAATCATAAATAATGTTTGCGAATGGGCAAGGTCAATTAATCAAAATAGTCGGAAAGTAAATTATACAGTAGAAATGATCAGAATTTGATGTCTAAGCATCGAACTTGAGACAAAGCTATACCACCTTAGACTTTGAGTTGCTGACGAATATTATGCTAATTAGATTGAACTTCCTACCCTAAGAAGCACACTAAGAACAGCCAGACCATCAGCATGCTTCACGCCTTCAGGAACGCTGGAATATTTCGTATTGAGATGCACCAAATGTAACTGGAAACGAAAAGAATAATATCAGATTGTTCTCCATAAAAGTCCACTATTAATTCAAATTCTGCAACAGCACTAAATTCAGCAAAGTTCATAGATGGTGCACCTATACCCACCTCAGCTGGGAATGCCATGTTGTTTAGGCGATGTTCAGATCCCTGGCTAACATCACTCCCCCAATGAAAATGAAATCCCACCAGTTTGAAAACTCCAGGCAAGCCTCCGTTTGCGATTTTCGGGACAGAACGGTCTGTGTAGCCAGTGAATGATACGCTGTAGCTATGACCGTTATTTGTTGCTTTTATTTGCACGTTTGATGGGATCGCACCATAGTTGGCGAACCAGATATTTCCTAAGCAGCTGTACATTGGGTTGTTGATGTTTATTGGCGATTGCCTAGTTCCTCCGCACGTTGGGAAGTGCTTTGGCCATGTATTGACACCTAAAGTAAGAGATACAATCCCTCAATTTCGCAACGAATTGCGTTTAGCCTTTAACTCATTCTTTTCTTATCGTTACTTTAGGTTCTACACTATTGAAGTTTCTTTGATTGCGTGGATTCTCTTTGGGTGGTACGCTTTCGTCGAAGTGTGCTTGATTAAAGTATGTACTAACCCAACCTTATACTGTATAAACTATTCTTCCTAGAGGTTCCGTACGGATCATCTCGTATTCAACCAGTGTTACTACAGGAGGAAACCTAAACTAAACTAACTTTATTTATACTGGATAGCTCCATCAGTTCTAAACTGTTCTTCCTAGAGGTCCAGTAAGAGTCCTCTCAAATTGATCCAGTGTTACTACAGGAGGAAACCTAAACTAAACTAACTTTATTTATACTGGATAGCTCCATCAGTTCTAAACTGTTCTTCCTAGAGGTCCAGTAAGAGTCCTCTCAAATTGATCCAGTGTTACTACAGGAGGAAACCTAAACTAAACTAACTTTATTTATACTGGATAGTTCCATCAGTTCTAAACTGTTCTTCCTAGAGGTCCAGTAAGAGTCCTCTCAAATTGATCCAGTGTTACTACAGGAGGAAACCTAAACTAAACTAACTTTATTTATACTGGATAGCTCCATCAGTTCTAAACTGTTCTTCCTAGAGGTCCAGTAGGAGTCCTCTCAAATTGATCCAGTGTTACTACAGGAGGAAACTTGTGCAGCATACATGGAGAAAACCCTGGTGTTTTTTAGTAATGTAAAACTCGAAACAATCTTCTCATATGATCTGAAGTTATAATTAATTATTAAATAATAATATGGAACTGATAAGATATTAACGTCGACCAAAAATATATGTTTGCAGAAAATCGTAATTAAAAGAGGAGTATTTTTATATATAACACTAAAATCAGATTTCCATTTGGTCTGGGCGATTGTAACCATGTCAAGATAGCTGATGTAATAATACATTGTCAATTTATCTCTGCAATCGGTAAAAACTGATTTGCATAGAGTACACAAAAGACACTCATAAATCCAGACTATTTCATATCAGTGACCATGATTTATTAAGCAAATTCCTTCAAATTTAATGGCAACCCTGCCCCCTCATTTTCTTGAAAAAATTTAATAGCCCCAGAGATTTTTCCAGGGATTTTTTAGGGCCGTAAAAAACTCAATCTTGAATTGAGTTTTGAAACTCAATCTTCTCACCAAAGTTTCGGTGCAGTAAAAATGAAGTTGTTTGAGTTAAATTCGTGACGTGTGGAAATTAGTTTTCAGTCGGAAACCCGAAAATGGCTGGAATTCATCTCACAACACAAGAAAAACTACGCATTCACCATCTTTAACCAGTTTATAGTGTCCCTTAGTGCCCCTGCTTTAACACATTGCATCTCAACTACATTTATTGAAAGGGGGGGGGTGCAGCCACCCCAACTGTTCAGCTAAACTCAATCTTCTCTGCAAAAACGGACCCAAGAGAAAATCCTGAAAAAAACTTTGCCCCCCCTCTAGTAATTTATTTATACATATGCCCCCCTCTTATTTTTCCCCTCCCCCGCCTTCCATAAATAATGACCGGTCCCTAGGTTAAGCTAAAACTCAAAGCAAACTTTCCAACAACTTGTTTGCAAATTTGGAAATGTTTCTTCAGAAATTTTGTGTGGGTCACTATAGGGGTTGTCTCCTCTGAAGTTTTGAAATAAACAGACGTGCAGAAATACATAAACTAAAACAGCAGGTTAAATAAATGGCATTTCATGACACAACCAATAAACACCAGCAGTCGTAATGTAAACGAAGATCGACATACCGTACTCGGCTGAATGATAATCCCACTTTTGCTCAGATGCAGCTGAAAAATGGTGCAATTATTAGTCATTATTACGTTTATAACTTTCAACTTTGAAAGTTTAAACAATCAAAGTCAATTAGGGAGACCCGGGTGCAATCCTTGGTCGACACAAGGTCTTAAAATAACTAAGGAGAAAGAGCTACGTTTACATTGAAATCAGTAAATGGTTAGACTTTCGCATCTTCTCGAATAAGGATGTTATCAATAGACAACTTGCATGTTAGACTCATTTTTGATCCAGGCAAAAAAAAGTAAATTCCCGTAAAGAACTTATAAAAGTTAGTAAAATTGCAAAATTTGGTTACGAAATATTGTAACTATAATACGAAAAATATAGCCTTCCGAAGTTTGCATATTTTGTATATGTAAGTATTACGTGCGGAAATTGTTACCATTTAAATGGTAACAATTTCCGCACGTAATACAAACATATACAAAATTTGCAAACTTTGCGAGGCTATATTTTCCAAGCTTTACAACATTTCGCAACCAAATTTTGCAATTTTACTAATTCCATTATGTTCTTTTTAGCTGTGGTGTTTGATTCCCTTCTCTTTACTTAGATTAAAATTTAGTCTAACATGCAACTTGTCCATTGGGGCAATAGCATGCTGGGAAATCCGCTCACCAATGAGTGGAGAAACTTAACAAACAATAAACTCAATACCAAACCGTAAAAATGTTCCCTCTATAAATATTTTTGCGCGTGTACAAGTGCTGAAAAGTTGGTTGACAACGAATGATTAGCGCGCGTGAAACGACAACAATCTTCCCTTCTTTACGCCATGTAGTTCCCTGTTGTGCGATAATAAAAATGCCACTTGACCACTCACCTGCACTTGCGATCACGGAGAGGACAAAGAAGGAGAATGACAACTTTTGAAGCATTGTTTTTAGCATTTAAATCCTACAGTAAAGATATAAGTCGCGTAATAGTGTATACGATAATTTTTCATAAACTGCATTTGAAAGAAATGAAAGAGATTTGTATGTACAAAGAAGCCTGCTGTGTTAAGCTACTTGTGGTAACAAACAACCAGTCACTTTGAGATTATTCCGGTCTTGCCAGGCCAGAAACAGAGTGTTACAAGTGTTCAGCCATGCATAACTATATGTGCAATATGCTAATTCCAATAACGGTTATATGGTAATGACTCCAGAATTGTCACTTACATCGGATTAAGGAACACTAGGTCGACAACAGCCTAGACCTAGGCCAACTATTTTTAATTTTAATATCCAGCGCTTTTTCACATGAGGTAGCACATGAGGAGACTGGGATCTAGGCGATTTGGGGGCGGGGCGGAGGAGGACAATACTTACCAAATGCTGGCCCAAAATTGACCAAACCAGTCAAAACCAGCCGAGTAAAGGCCTAGGTCTAATTCGCGTAGGGCGAAGTAATTTTCACCTTGTGTAAGTCAGGAAAATCAAAGTTAAAGTTTATGTAGGTAGTTTATGTTTATGTTTATGTTTTTTTAGTTTATGTTTATTTAAATCAAAGGAATGTTAATAATAATAATAATAATAAAAAACATTTATATAGCGCACAAACCAAGACTGTTCTAGGCGCTTTACAGTAATACAAAATCCAATCTTAAAAACTAGTGTTAAGAATGTTAAAACTATAGAATACATCATACACTATTTAAAAACAAGTTAAAAAGATATGTTTTAAGAAACTTCGTAAAAATGGTTAATGATTCACACATCCGAAGATGAACAGGTAAATCATTCCACAATCTTGGTCCAGCAACACAGAACGATCTGTCTCCGTATGTCTTTAGTCTAGAATAAGGAATCTGGAGCAATTCATTTCCATTTGATCGAAGAGTACGCTGCGAAGTACGATTGCCTCCGATGTTTCACCCAACAATTCACAATAGTCCAAGATTGAATAATAAAGTTTAATAAAATCACAATTCACACTCACTTTATCATAAGCTCGTCTTTACATCGACATTACTAACATCGACAAAACTCCAAAGCGTGCAGAACTTCGCGGCACGCGTTATTACTGGAATCAGAAAATATGACCATGTGACGCCTATCCTTCAGCAGTTAGCTTGGCTTCCAGTTGAGTGTATGTTAAAACTCAGGGATGCGGTTATGACATTTAAGTGCATGAAAGGGTTAGCTCCGCCATACTTGTGTGACAAATTCGAAATGAGATTAAAGATCCACAGTGTTAACACCAGAAATAAGGATAAGTTAAACATTCCACTGTATAATTCGGCTTCTGGACAGCGAACGTTTCATTATCGCGCAGTGTCTATTTGGAATGAGCTCCCAAATCATATTAAAGACATTGACACTTTGGACCGGTCTAAAATAGAATATAAACGTCATTTATTGCATGGATTTTTAGAAAGTAGTTAATAGTTTTAGACAATTTGGACTTGTTTAAATTAGCATATAAACGTTTTTACTGTATGGATTTTATTAGGAAGTAGCTAATCATTTTTAAAGTGACATTACTAATAATTATAAAATTTTTAATTTGTGTTTGTATGTATGTTCGTATGTTTGTGGGTGTATATATATATTGTTTGTAGTATATAAATGATTTGTAATTACCTGCTGAAAAGCCCTTTTGGGAGCAGGCAATATTGTAATAATAGTAATAATAACATTATTGTATATATCACTTAATTTCCCGTATAGTTTTACCTATGTTCTTTTCACTCGTATGTATATATAGTTTTACCAAGGACACGCTCTCAACTATATGTTTTTTCAACACTAATTTCTCAACCCTTCTATTCGCCTTTGGTACCAGGTACACATTGACACGACTACTTTACACAGGTTGGTACCCCTTGGTACAAGTTGCCAATGTGCTGGTGCCCCTTGGTACGAGTTCTCACCTTGACTGCCCTAGTTATAATATTCTAAAGTTCTAATTATTAAGTATAATATTGTTTTATTCCTACTATAAGTCTACCAGTTTCCAACAATATGTGCAATATGCTAATTCCAAAAACGGTTATATGAAATATGGTAATGGACTCCAGAATTGTCACTTACATCGGATTAAGGAACACTAGTTCGACAACAGCCTAGACCTAGGCCAACTATTTTTAATTTTAATATCCAGCGCTTTTTCACATCACTTTTTCACATTATATGTCTAAATCGTTTGAGTGAATTGCTCCTTATCGCCCTTATTATTACAATATCCAAAATTGGAAAAAAGCCGAACACAATTTCGAAACTGACGTGCAAAGCCCCTTTAAAATGCAATGAAATTTCTTTCGAGGTTCTGTTTGTTTGAAGTTCGCTGTTTAAAAAATGACACTGAAAACCCAATATAAAATATAACTTTGTCGAAATATTTTGTCGGGCGGTGCATTTATATTGTATAACAGAATATAAAAAATATTCACGAAGCTCTTAAAATACAGTCGGGCGGTGATGAGAATGAGAGAATCAAGAATCATTTATGTGGCCTTGTTTGCAATTTTGTATCCAAATAATGAATTTCATGTACAAAGCGGTGACATAATATATTCGAGAGTGAAACAAATTATCAAGGCTGCATTCTCATATTTTTTTTAAAAAATACAACCTTGGTAAACTGTTTATATCACACGCATGCGCACGACGGACCGTACCACATCTTTAACAATTGAAAAAGCGTTTATATGAAAGTTTCCATTTTGTTTGCGCGTGTGCTTTTTCAGCGACAAATAAGTAACAATTAGCTAACTGATTACTACAGCTAACTAGCAATTAACCATCTAATGAACAACCTAAATAACCAGCTAACTGACCATTTCGCTAGTTAATTAACCAATTAAGTAGTTAACTAGCTAATTAAATAACTTACTAATTGATTCACTTTTGTATTGGTCTATAATGTCTGATCTTAATTGGTCTATAAAGTCTGATATTTAGTCGATTTTTTGTGCATTTATTTGTAAGATTCTAAGTTAAATACAACGATAATATACAAATTATTGTTGAAATTACGAAAGCTCAGTGATGCCTTAATATTTACTAGGCAGCCTTTTTGGTGCGCATAAAAATAAACCTTAATTGTCAAATTCTATGAAACGTCTAACATGTTTCTAAAAAAATCGTAGTAAAACCAGCACCAAGCTTGCAAGGAATATGGAATTATTTTCCATGGCCATGGTGGTGTCCCCCGCTGTGATGGCCATGGTTATTGCTTCCAAAGTTAGCCAACACCCTACGACCATTTAGTGGCTGAGTGGGTCTGTAGTTATTCACCAGCTGTTTCAACTGGTGGTTCACTGGATCACGATATTTCATACCACGTAGGGCGTTCAGCTGGAAAAGAAACATAAAACGTGGGGTTAGGTAGTGTTCCACAATAAGCTGCCATGGTTGTGTCTGAACTACCTGAAAACGATATCTCAAACGTGGTGGTCCAGTGTAGGTAGTATTCTACAATAAGCTGTCGAGGTTTGTGTCTGAACTATACCTGAAATAGATATCTCAAACGTGGTGGTCCAGTGTGGGTAGTGTTCTACAATAAGGTGTCGTGGTTTGTGTCTGAACTACCCGAAAAAATATAAGTTTTCAATTAACAATTTCACATGATATAACGTGCTGGTTACCTGTGCTTCAGAGATTTTAACAGTGTTGGCAAATACAGTCCATGTGACAACTTGTTCACATTCGGGGGTGGTCAATGATCCTTGGTAGCGATAGAATGATTTATGATAGGGGAGTAAACCCGCTAATGAGGAGACAGCAATCGTTGCTGTATTGTCTAAATGGAAAGAAATGTCAGGATCATAATTGCTGGTTTGCGATCAATCTTTTGAGATTTACAAGACAATAGCTGCTAATGATATTATTTTGTTAGCGTTCCTCCAACCGTGATGGTCGCCATGGTCGCCGTTGTTGTTTGTATGTTTATTGTTGTTTGTTTGTTGCTGTTTGTTGTTTGTATGTTGTTTGTATGTTGTTTGTATGTTTGTTGTTGTTGTTTGTATGTTTATTGTTGTTTGTTTGTTTGTTTGTTTGTTTGTTTGTTTGTTTGTTTGTTTGTCTGTTTCTGTTTGTTTGTTGCTTGTATGTTGTTTGTATGCCGTTTGTATGTTGTTTGTATGTTGTTTGTATGTTGTTTGTATGTTGTTTGTATGTTGTTTGTTTGTATGTTGTTGTATGTTGTTTGTATGTTGTTTGTATATTGTTTGTATGTTTGTTGTTGTTTGTATGTTTGTTTGTTTGTTTGTTTGTTGTTTGTTGTTGTTTGTGTGTTTGTTGTTGTTGTTTGTGTGTTTGTTGTTGTTGTTTGTTTGTTTGTTTGTTTGTTGCTGTTTGTTTGTATGTTTGTTGTTTGTTTAGTGTTTTTGACTTGTTATTGTTTGTTGTTTGTTTATAATTTGTTATTGTGCACATACCTGGATAGGGGACTTGTTGTGCCGCGCTATTTAGAAAATTGTAATTGTTGTTGTTGTGTCGTCCTCGCTGTAAAGAAAATGTATTTATTTATAGATAAAACGTAGCCAAAGCGTAGAGCGCTTATTGCTCCATTAGGGCCCCTAACAGATTGACTGGGATCCTAAAAACGTTACGCTTAGTTTCCATAATTTCCATATGACGCCGACAGTCGGCGAGTTGGTTCCATTGTCGGTGATTAGTCATGAGTAAAATCCTTTGTGTATCTGAAAACATTTTCTCTTTCAATGACTACCTTGAAACAACGCTTGAATCATGCCGGGTCATGCATAAATATAATCTTTAGCAAGTGGACAAGATCAATCAATGAAAATAATCGCAAAGTAAATTATACAGTAGAAGTGATCAGAATTTGATGTCTAAGCACCGAACTTGTGACAAAGCTATACAACCTGGTTGAGTTTTTTTATAGTGACGTATATTATGCTAATTAGATTCACTTCTTACCCTAAGAAGCACGCTGAGAACTGCCAGACCATCAGCATGCTTCACGCCTTCAGTAAAGTTGGAATATTTCGTATTGAGATGGACCAAATGTAACTGGAAACGAAAAGAATAATATCAGATTGTTCTCCATAAAAGTCCAGTATAAATTCAAATTCTACAACAGTACTAAATTCAGCTTAAAGTTCATAGATGGTACACCTGTACCCACCTCGGCTGGAAAAGCCCTGTTGTTTACGCGATGTTCAGATCCCTGGCTATCATCACTCCCCCAATGAAAGTGAAATTCCACCAGTTTGAAAACTCCAGGCAAGCCTCCGTTTGCGATTTTCGGGTTAGAACTGTCTGTATAGCCACTGAATGTCACACTGTAACTGTGACCGTTATTTGTTGCAGTTGTTTGCACGCTTGATGGGATAGCACCATAGTTGGTGAACCAGATATTTCCCAAGGAGCTGTACGTTGGGTTGCTGATGTTTATTGGCGATTGGTTAGTTCCTCCACACGTTGGAAAGTGCTCTGGCCATGTATTGACGCCTAGAGTAAGAGATACAATCCCTCAATTTCGCAACGAATTGCGTTTAACCTTTAACTCATTATTTTCTTATCGTTACTTTAGGTTCTACACTATTGAAGTTTCCTTGATTGCGTGGATTCTCGTTGCGTGGATACGCTTTCATTGAAGAATGATTCATCAAAGTATGTACTAAACTAACTTTATTTATACTGAATAGCTCTGTCAGTTCTAAACTGTCCTTTCTAGAGCTCCAATAAGGATCATCTCTTATTGTCCAGTGTTACTACAGGAGGAAACCTAAACTAAACTAACTAACTTTATTTATACTGGATAGCTGTATCACTTCTAAACTGTCTTTCCTGGAGGTCCAGTAAGGCCCTTCCCTTATTCACCCAGTGTTACAAGAGGAGAAAATTAGGGCACATAAAGAAAGGCTTTTCCAGATGGAAATTGCGAGTGTTAATTTTTATACATTTGTTGGTCTTAACCAGGAACAGTTTCGAAAAATGCAACTATAGGCTCTGTCTGGCAGGAATTGAATCTGCGGCCCTGCGATTCCGGTGCAGCGGTCTATCCAACTGAGCTACAGAGGCCAGTTGTCGAGCTCTAACCACAAATTCATGAATATATTCTTCCTTAAATAGTTATCTAGTGTAGATGCGCAATATTTACTCGTATACCAAGAGAAACTCTACAGTGTTTAGTAAAGTAAGGTAGTACTTGAAGCAATCTTCTCGTGTGAGGTGAAGTTATAGTTTCAGGAATCAATCCCTGGTCACAGAATAACCGGCAGGCTATTATATATAAACCACTAGCTGATGATGTTTCATGATGATTGGTCATCGTGTTCACCAGCAGTTGTAATGTAGCCTACCAAGATTTACATACCGTATTCAGCTGAATGATAATCCCACTTTTGCTCAGATGCAGCTGAAAAATGGTGCAATTATTAGTCATTTTACATTTATAAAACAATATGGGCGGCTATCTTTAAAATGGGGAATCGGGAAAATCTTTAAAAGTTTAAACAATCAAAGTCGATGCCAAGGCATAAAAATTTTCCCTCTATGAATATCTTTGCGTGTACAAGTGCCCTACGTATATCTTTGCGTGTACAAGTGTACAAGTGCCCTACGACACTCACCTGCACTTCCGATCACTGAGGCAACAAAGAACAAGAATACAACTTTTGAAGCATTGTTTTTGGTATTTCAATCCTACAGTAAAGATACAAGTCACGTAATAGTGTATAAAATAATTTTTCATAAACATTTGAAAGAAATGAAAGAGATATTTATATACAAACAAGGCTGCCATACAAGCTACTTGTGGTAACAAACAGCCAGTCAGTTTGAAGTTGTTCCGGTCTTGCAAGGTCAGAAACAAAGCTGTTATTTGTTACAAGTGTTCTGCCATGCATAACTATAAGTCAGCAATGCCAATTCCGAAAACGATTATATGAAATATGGTTATATGGTAATGGCTTTAGAATTATCGCTTACAGCGGATTAAGGAACACTATAGGTCGGCAATTCATCATGCATGTGTGAACAACTTAATTATAGAAACTGTAATGGGAATAACACAACACCAAGACTCCACAAACATGTATATTATCTGATTTTGTTTCCAATAAAAAACTTCCAATAACAGTATATAGGATTGATGCAATGATGGAAAGAATTGAATAAGTTAAAATGCGTCAACCGAATTCATGAAAAACTTGGAAAACGTTGTCCACACCACCATTGTAAAGCATTTCGTTCTATGAACGTAATTAAGTGCATTTTTTAAAAACATTATACATCCTAGCCTGTAGCTGTTCACTTTAGGTTTTCACTTGAATTTACGTATAGTATGTGCGTTATTCTTCTGAATTACATGCAATTACGAAATAGTTTTTCTAACAGAATTTGACAAAAAGATTTCAAAAAAAAATCTTTATAAATCTGAGCATTTTTCGTTCACTACGTATGGGGGGACATTACCCGCAAAAATATAATTGCATAGTGGGAGGGGGGCAGTTGAATACTTTATCCGCAGAAAAAAGTCGGGTCAACGCTCTGCCGAAACTTGTGCAGGGTTTTCTCCGGGTGCCGCTCCGGTTTCCTCGCACAGGGAAAGTTGACAGGGTGGGTTAGGATAAACACAGTTAAGAAAGTAATATCACAATTGTTGTAAAGACAAAATAGTCTAGGCTAAGTATGTAATTAGGTAAGCGCAATACTTGATGTAATGCGCATTTGACCATATCAAGTATCAACATTTGCACTATAGAAATGCTACTCGTAATGGTGTAAATATTTCATCCAGGAGCTATACATGTTATCATTCAACTGCATTCTCATCCGACGCTGCGTCATTTCGGAATGCGCAAACCTTGCAAGAACGCGATCATTGCAAAGATAGCTTTTCAATTAAATCTTGTTTGTTTGGATTCATAAATTCCCTTGTTAATACATCTTTATTTTCATATATATATTTATTTATCATTTAAAATTTTAAATTTACAACTCCGGGTTTATATGCTGATGATACGCACATATTTGCCTCGTCTGATAATTATGATGAACTGGTAGAACTATTAAACTCTGATTTGAAAAATATTAGTAGATGGCTCTCGGATAACAAACTGCAACACCATACTACTAAAACTAAGACAAAACCATTCGCCCCCAATGAAACCCTGCACATCATCTATAAGGCGTTAAGTCTGCCATACTTTGATTATTGCTCCCCTTTGTGGGATAATTGCGGAATTGTACTAAAAGAAAAACTACAGAGATTCCAAAATAGAGCTGCAAGGGTGTTGACGGGAGTAAGTTATGATACCAACTCCTCTGAGCTCCTTGAACGGCTTAACTGAAAAAATCTTGAAAACAGATTTAGATTTAATAAAGTGGTTCTGGTATACAACATTCTTAATAAAGGTACTGCCCCCTGTCTTCGAGAATTCTTTTCTGCACGAAGCAATAATGATAATGACTATCATCTCAGAAATTATGATACAGATCTCTCACTTCCAAAACCTAAGAAAGAATTTCTTAAAAGAAGCTTTAGGTATAGTGGAGCTGTACTGTGGAATAGCCTTTCTGCTGAGGCTAAGTCTGCTCATTCGATTTATTGTTTCAAAAGACTTATTTGAATTTTGTTTTTAATTGTTATTCCATTTGTAACTACATATTATGTTCTGGGTAATATTCTTTTTGGGTCTGTGGGTTAATTAGTTTTTTCTTCATTTTTATATACTTTTAAATAGCTAAATAGACGCCCCTCATGAAAACCAGCCGTATAGCTGATGAGGATAGCGTCTCTATATACATACATACATGGCATATTAACGCGAACCGCGGTATTGTCTTATGACACAAGTTTAAGCAAACAAGAAACGACTACATTTCAACAATGACATACCTGATCAAATCAATCCAAATATAAAGCGCGCTGAACTTCGATGTTGACCGTTATGTCTTGAAAGCCACCCCGACTGCAGCTGGCCACTGAAGGCACCAATTTTATATGCTCGCGCGAAGGAGTGGCTGTTCATGGTTCCTCGCGCAAGCATCATTTGCGGACACCGTCTGACATTGACTTTCATTAACAATGAAAGTCAATGTCAGACGGTAAAAATTTTCCTTTTTTTACGCTGCATTGACCACTGCGAGGCTTTTAATGGATTAATTTAGAAATAATTTCTCTCTAAAATTAGTTGCTCTCGGAGGTAAATGCAATTATGTTAAAAAAATTTAAAAAACGTTAATACGGATAAAAGAGGCAGCCAAGTCACTCGCGTGTACTTCCGACCAACAAAAGAACAAAAAACAATTTAGCCTGTGTTCCAGTCCACAACGTCAACGGTGGGACACAGGCTGAGAACAACAATGACAATTTATATGAAAACTGTGATGTATATAACGCCACACAACACCATCATCTCATTTTACGTTATAAGTAGCAACACACCCTGAATCGATCGATTCTTTCCTAGCCATTCGAGGCATGTTTCATGCGCTTACTGACTAGATTGAAAATTTATTAATTATAAATTAATCATTTGTTTTGTACCGTACATGTATATATACGTATATTTCTATACGGTTTAAAGATTGACAATTAATATTGTAAATAAGTGTTGTTTTGATAGAGGACCCCACTGAAAAACATGCATATGATGCCTATGGGTAATCTGGATAAAAATTATTTTATGAACCCACACGGCTTGACTTCTCCTTTCTCCCATTTTCGTCATTTTCAATCGACGTTCACTTTCTATTGCCATGCATGCTTTTCAAATTTTTGGCCTCATGGAAACATAGTCTTCTAGCTAAGACCCTCTGGGTAAAAGAACCGTAATTAAAACCCTCACCTGTTATCAGCTTGTAGATTGGAACAATCCCAACTGCTCTTGTAAAGGGGAGGGGCAACTTCCTCCTTCCCCCCTCCCAGGAAAATTTAATTAATAATAATAATAATATGACTTTATTTAACGAGGCTAACATACATTATTGGTTTCCCAATATTTTTCCCAATTTTGTTATGCTATTATGAATTATGAAGCCAAATGGCGCTTATAATCTTGTGAATCAGAATGTATGATTCTGTCTGGCGCAGCCATAACCACGCATCGAACTGATATGACTTTGAATGCAATGACATTTGGGCACTTACTTCAGCGTATAGGTAACGCAAGAATAACAACATAACAACATCTTACTTTTTTTCATTTATTTATGAAATTAACATACATATATTATGCGTGCACATTAAATGTTACAACCTATTGTTGAAATTATGAATGCTCAGTGAATTACTTTAATATTTAGTAGGTCTAGTCTGCCTTTTTGGTGCACACGTGCAGTTCTTAAGAATACTTGTAAAACAGTGGAATAAAAATAAACCTCAACTATCAATTTCTATAAAAAACTTAGTAAAACCAGCAACAAGCTTGCAAGGAACATCAGATGATTTTCTTTGTTACCTTTGTTACGTTTTCCTTTCTTTTCTTCATTAACAATGAAAGTCAATGTCAGACGGTAAAAATTTTCCTTTTTTTACGCTGCATTGACCACTGCGAGGTTTTTAATGGATTAATTTAGAAATAATTTCTCTCTAAAATTAGTTGCTCTCGGAGGTAAATGCAATTATGTTAAAAAAAAATTTAAAAAATGTTAATACGGAGAAAAGAGGCAGCCAAGTTACTCGCGTGTACTTCCGACCAACGAGAGAACAAAAAACAATTTAGCCTGTGTTCCAGTCCACAACGTCAACGGTGGAACACAGGCTGAGAACAACAATGACAATTTATATGAAAACTGTGATGTATATAACACCACACAACACCATCATCTCATTTTACGTTATAAGTAGCAACACACCCTGAATCGATCGATTCTTTCCTAGCCATTCGAGGCATGTTTCATGCGCTTACTGACTAGATTGAAAATTTATTAATTATAAATTAATCATTTGTTTTGTACCGTGCATGTATATATATACGTATATTTCTATACGGTTTAAAGATTGACAATTAATATTGTAAATAAGTGTTGTTTTGATAGAGGACCCCACTGAAAAACACGCATATGATGCCTATGGGTAATCTGGATAAAAATTATTTTATGAACCCACACGGCTTGACTTCTCCTTTCTCCCATTTTCGTCATTTTCAATCGACGTTCACTTTCTATTGCCATGCATGCTTTTCAAATTTTTGGCCTCATAGAAACATGGTCTTCTAGCTAAGACCCTCTGGGTAAAAGAACCGCGATTAAAACCCTCACCTGTTATCAGCTTGTAGATTGGAACAATCTCAACTGCTCTTGTGAAGGGGAGGGGCAACTTCCTCCTTCCCCCTCCCAGGAAAATTGAATTAATAATAATAATAATATGACTTTATTTAACGAGGCTAACATACATTATTGGTTTCCCAATATTTTTCATTATGGGCCTACAATCACAAGTTTTGTTATGCTATTATGAATTATGAAGCCAAATGGCGCTTCTAATCTTGTGAATCAGAATGTATGATTCTGTCTGGCGCAGCCACAACCACGCATCGAACTGATATGACTTTGAATGTAATGACATTTTGGTACTTACTTCAGCGTATATAGGTAACGCAAAAATAACAACATAACAATATCTTACTTTTTTTCATTTATTTATGAAATTAACATACATACATTATGGGTGCACATTAAATGTTACAACCTATTGTTGAAATTATGAATGCTCAGTGAATACTTTAATATTTACTAGGTCTAGGCAGCCTTTTTGGTGCACACGTGCAGTTCTTAAGAATACTTGTAAAACAGTGGAATAAAAATAAACCTCAACTATCAATTTCTATAAAAAAACTTAGTAAAACCAGCAACAAGCTTGCAAGGAACATCAGATGATTTTCTTTGTGTTTTTTTTCATGAATTATTAATGAGTTTTTAACTTTAATTTAAATTCTTCACACACGGTAGCCTGATTCAGTGGATAAGTATTCACAGTACTGGTTTTCAAAGGGCCGTGTAGAACTTATTGGAGAAATGTTGACAAGCAGATCACACAACGATATTATAAGTTTATAGACATGGCTTTAATACCAGGCTTGGTTTTCTTTATGCATTCATAAATATTTTTTTCAACTCCATGTGTGATGTGATTTCAACTCCATGTGTCATCTCTAACGTATCTTCATGGACTATAGGGAGTTTATGGTTGCTGGACACTTGCACCCTTTTTGGCGTTTTGCGGAAAGTCGCTACTGCGCGCTCAAAATCAGTCCAATTTTCATCAAATTTTCACCAAATGCTCGCCAGTGCATGCAAAATATGGTAAAGTTGTAAAATTGACAAACAATAAAATAATGTAAGAATTATTCAGGAATTGCTGGTGTACCTTTGCGCTTTCAAAAGTTGTTTTCCTGGTTTAAAGATATATTTATGAAAATATCATTTTTATACAGTAAAATAGTTGTTCTAAAAGATTGTGTTCGGAAATTTTTGTTTATTTCGTCATTGAGCGATTTCTTTGACGACTGCAATATATTTCTGAATCGTTTGAGTGAAGTGCTTCTTATTGCCCTTATTATTGAAATATCCAAAATTTGAAAAAAGCCGAACACAATTTTGAAACTGACGTGCAAAACCCTTTAAAATGCAATGAAATTTCTTTCGAGGTTCTCTTTGTTTGAAGTTCGCTGTTTAAGATGACACCGAAACCCAATTTAAAATATAACTTTGTCGAAATATTTTGTCGGGCGGTGCATTTATATTGTATAACAGAATATAAAACATATATTCACGAGGCTCTTAAAATACAGTCGGGCGGTGATGAGAATGAGAGAATCAAGAATCATTTATGTGGCCTTGTTTGCAATTTTGTATCCAAATAATGAACTTCATGTACAAATCGGTGACATAATATATTCGAGAGTGAAACAAATTATCAAGGCTGCATTATCATATTTTTTTTAAAAAATACAACCTTTGGTAAACTGTTTATATCACACGCATGCGCACGACGGACCGTACCACATCTTTAACAATTGAAAAAGCGCCGTTTATATGAAAGTTTCCATTTTGTTTGCGCGTGTGCTTTTTCAGCTACAAATAAGTAACAATTAGCTAACTGATTACTACAACTAACTAGCAATTAACCATCTAATGAACAACCTAAATAACCAGCTAACTAACCATTTCGCTAGTTAATTAACCAATTAAGTAGTTAACTAGCTAATTAACTAACTTACTAATTGATTCACTTTTGTATTGGTCTATAATGTCTGATCTTAATTGGTCTATAAAGTCTGACATTTAGTCGATTTTTTGTGCATTTATTTGTAAGATTCTAAGTTAAATACAACGATAATATGAATTATGAGTGCTGTATGTTAAATATTACAATTATTGTTGAAATTACGAATGCTCAGTGATGCCTTAATATTTACTAGGCAGCCTTTTTGGTGCGCATAAAAATAAACCTCAATTGTCAAATTCTATGAAACGTCTAACATGTTTCTAAAAAAATCGTAGTAAAACCAGCACCAAGCTTGCAAGGAATATGAAATTATTTTCCGTAGCCTGCATGGTGTCGCCCTCCGTGGTAGCCATGGTAGCCACGGTATCCCCATCCGTAGTATCCCCTGCCATGGTGTCCCCCGCCGTGGTGTCCCCCGCCGTGTTGGTCATGGTTATTGCTTCTAAAGTTAGCCAACACCCTACGACCATTTAGTGGCTGAGTGGGTCTGTAGTTATTCACCAGCTGTTTCAACTGGTGGTTCACTGGATCACGATATTTCATACCACGTAATGCGTTCAGCTGGAAAAGAAACATAAAACGTGGGGTTAGGTAGTATTCTACAATAAACTGCCGTGGTTTGTGTCTGAACTACCTGAAAAAGATATCTCGAACGTGATGGTGCAGTGTAGGTAGTATTCTACAATAAGCTGTCGTGGTTTGTGTCTGAGCTACCTGAAATAGATATCTCAAACGTGGTGGTCCATTGTGGGTAGTATTCTACAATAAGCTGTCGTGTTTTGTGTCTGAACTACCTGAAAAAGATATCTCAAACGTGGTGGTCCAGTGTAGGTAGTATTCCATAATAAGCTGTCGTGGTTTGTGTCTGAACTACCAGAAAAAGATATCTCAAACGTGGTTGTCCAGTGTAGGTAGTATTCTACAATAAGCTGTCGTGGTTTGTGTCTGAACTACCTGAAAAAGATATCTCAAACGTGGTGGTCCATTGTGGGTAGTATTCTACAATAAGCTGTCGTGGTTTGTGTCTGAGCTACCTGAAATAGATATCTCGAACGTGGTGGTCCATTGTGGGTAGTATTCTACAATAAGATGTCGTGGTTTGTGTCTGAACTACCCGAAAAAAATATACGTTTTCAATTAACAATTTCACACGATATAACGTGCTGGTTACCTGTGCTTCAGAGATTTCAACAGTGTTGGCAAATACAGTCCACGTGACAACTTGTTGACATTCAGGGGTGGTCAATGATCCTTGGTAGCGATAGAATGATTTATCATTGGGGAGTAAATCCGCTATTGAGGAGACAGCAATGTTTGCTTTGTTGCCTAAATGAAAAGAAATGTGATGATCATAATTGCTAGTTAAAGTTTGCGTTCAATCTTTTGAGATTTATAACACAATAGCTGCTAATGACATTATTTTATTAGCGTTTCTCCAACATGGTCACCATGACGACGTCCAGACTCAAGTGCAAACCAAGAATGCGAAGAATGAAGGGACACATTAGAAAATGTTCATATTAGAAAGGTATCAGTTTTATAAATTTTCTAATGATGAGAATTATGTATTGTCAGAACCGATGGCGTCTGTTTCACTAACATCGATAGAATATTGATACTATCACTGTAATATTGATATTAGTAGTAGTAATATTGTTAGAGTATTGATATAAGTATTGATATAATATTGATAGAGCGTTGAACAAATGTATATACATTTTTAGTCCGGAATGTATCTATTAAAATGCATGGGGTTCCTAACATACGCAATAAACCTGGTTTGTTGGTAAGTTCGCGTTTGTTTGTTTGTTTGTTTGTTTGTTTGTTTGTTTGTTTGTTTGTTTGTTTGTTTGTTTGTTTGTTTGTTTGTTTGTTTGTTTGTTTGTTTGTTTGTTTGTTTGTTTGTTTGTTTGTTTGTTTGTTTGTATGTATGTTTGTATGTTTGTATGTTTGTTTGTATGTTTGTTTGTATGTTTGTTTGCTGTTTGTTTGTGTGTTTGTTGTTTGTTTGCTGTTTTTGACTTGTTATTGTTTGTTTATAATTTGTTATTGTTCACATACCTGGGTAGGGGACTTGTTGTGCCGCGCGATTTAGAAAATTGTAATTGTAATTGTGTCGTCCTCGCTGTAAAGAAAATTTATTTGTTTATTTATAGATAAAACGTAGCCAAATATTTAAAGCAGTTATTGCTCCGTTAGGGCCCCTACCAGATTGACTGGGATCCTAAAAAACGTTAAACATGCCGGGTCATGCATAAATATAATGTTTAGCAAATGGAAAAGGTCAGTTAATCAAAATAATCACAAAGTAAATTATAGAGTAGAAATGATCAGAATTTGATGTTTAAAAGCTGTTTTCCACTGTTGCGTTTTTCATACGTACGTATACGCACGTAAAACTTTAAATCCGTTTAAATGTTACTTATGAAATAACCAAATAAACAAAGCAACAGAATTTAGTGTTCCGCAAGTTTTAGTATGCATTTGTTAACTTATTTGTAAAATATTTAAAAAATAGAAGGATTGAAAGTTCTACGTGCTTGTACGTGCGTACGAAAAACGCAACAGTGGAAATCAGCCTTAAGCACCGAACTTGAGACAAAGCTATACAATTTTCGACGCAAACTGGTTGAGTTTTTTATAGTGACGTATATTATGCTAATTAGATTGGACTCCCAACCCTAAGAAGAACGTTGAGAACAGCCAGACCATCACCATGCTTCAGGCCTTCAGGAACGCTGGAATATTTCGTATTGAGATGCACCAAATGTAACTGGAAATGAAAAGAATAATTTCAGATTGTTCTCCATAAAAGTCTAGTATAAATTTAATTCTACAACAGTACTAAAGTTCATAGATGATGCACCTATACCCACCTCAGCTGGGAAAGCCATGTTGTTTACGCGATGTTCAGATCCCTGGCTATCGTCACTCCCCCAATGAAAATAAAGTCCCTCCAGTTTGAAAACTCCAGGCAAGCCTCCGTTTGCGATTTTCGGGTTAGAACTGTCTGTGTAGCCAGTGAATGTCACACTGTAACTGTGACCGTTATTTGTTGCAGTTGTTTGCACGTTTGATGGGATAGCACCATAGTTGGTGAACCAGATATTTCCTAAGTATCTGTACGTTGGGTTGTTGATGTTTATTGGCGATTGGCTAGTTCCTCCACACGTTGGAAAGTGCTTTGGCCATGTATTGACGCCTAGAGTAAGAGATACAATCCCTCAATTTCGCCACGAATTGCGTTTAACCTTTAACTCATTATTTTCTTATCGTTACTTTAGGTTCTACACCATTGAAGTTTCTTTGATTGCGTGGATTCTCGTTGCGTGGATACGCTTTCATTGAAGAATGATTCATCAAAGTATGCACTAAACTAACTTTATTTATACTGAATAGCTCTGTCAGTTCTAAACTGTCCTTTCTAGAGCTCCAGTAAGGATAATCTCTTATTGATCCAGTGTTACTACAGGAGGAAGCCTAAACTAAACTAACTTTATTATACTGGATAGCTCTGTCTGTTCTAAACTGTCCTTTCTAGAGCTCCAGTAAGGATAATCTCTTATTGATCCAGTGTTACTACAGGAGGAAGCCTAAACTAAACTAACTTTATTATACTGGATAGCTCTGTCTGTTCTAAACTGTCCTTTCTAGAGCTCCAGTAAGGATAATCTCTTATTGATCCAGTGTTACTACAGGAGGAAGCCTAAACTAAACTAACTTTATTATACTGGATAGCTCTGTCTGTTCTAAACTGTCCTTTCTAGAGCTCCAGTAAGGATAATCTCTTATTGATCCAGTGTTACTACAGGAGGAAGCCTAAACTAAACTAACTTTATTATACTGGATAGCTCTGTCTGTTCTAAACTGTCCTTTCTAGAGCTCCAGTAAGGATAATCTCTTATTGATCCAGTGTTACTACAGGAGGAAGCCTAAACTAAACTAACTTTATTATACTGGATAGCTCTGTCTGTTCTAAACTGTCCTTTCTAGAGCTCCAGTAAGGATAATCTCTTATTGATCCAGTGTTACTACAGGAGGAAGCCTAAACTAAACTAACTTTATTATACTGGATAGCTCTGTCTGTTCTAAACTGTCCTTTCTAGAGCTCCAGTAAGGATAATCTCTTATTGATCCAGTGTTACTACAGGAGGAAGCCTAAACTAAACTAACTTTATTATACTGGATAGCTCTGTCTGTTCTAAACTGTCCTTTCTAGAGCTCCAGTAAGGATAATCTCTTATTGATCCAGTGTTACTACAGGAGGAA